CCAGCTGCTGCCATTCATCATGGGCAGGGCTGCCTCTCTCCGTCTCCCCACTTCAACCCTCCTTCCTCCCTCTCCCTGTCCTTCTTCCCCCAAACTGTCCTGCACCTACAGCATGGCCTCGCAGCTTACACCAGCTCCCAGCCTATGCACCAAAAGCAGTACCAGGCAGGTGCCAGCATCAGTTGCAGACGCAGGTGGCAGCTTCCTCCCAGGGATCAGGGCATCTGCCTGAGCCCCTCCTTGGGGTAGGAGGGTGGGCTGGAGGCTGAAGCTGCTGCCCACGCCCACATCAGCTCCTCCCACAGCACCATCCTACGTTAGGAGGTTTGGTGAGCTGTTGTGGTGCTGACCCGGCCTACAATAGCTCCCCAAAACTCCCTATGTGGCCCTCAGGCTCAAATAATTACTCACCCCTGCCCCAGACCATTTCTTTGTGGTACATTATCAATGGGCCAGATCCTATGAATCTTCAGTTATTGCAAATGATTTTACTGGAAGTTTTGTCTGAGTAAACAGTGCAGAAATTAGACCTCAGGGAGCATAACCTATGACATACCCTGAATGCCACCTCAAGAACACATACCTGGAGAAGATACCAGGTTATCTGAGAAGTTTACATCACAGAAATAATTTCCAAGCCTTCAGACTATCAACTAGGTGGATCCATACACCACGTGTAATAATGTTGCCATTCTTCCAAGCTGCAGAGTTGAGGGCTTGCACATTAGCTTCCCACTGGAGAAGAAATCAGACATGTGTCAGGCAGAGTACACATGTAGTGTAATTTGTTGATTTAGACATATACACCAGTCTTCTAACAGAGGTAATCACAAACAGCATGCAGGCAATACCGTCTTTCAGAATTCATAACCCAAATACTAATCCCCATTTGCAGGGAGAACTCTGCTTCAAGAACAGATTAAAAACAGCAAACTCCCATGCTACAAGTCATGGCTTCTCCAAAAGCCTGCATTCAAAAAACCTCCAAAAAACCTGCATCCAAAAATGTAGCACCATAGCATTTTCTTTCAGAAGTAGTAAAATTACCTGTAAGACCATGTATTATAGCACTATCTGGTGACCTCTGTGATAAAGATATGCATTTTCAAAAAGGTCATCCTCTTACATTTTAAAAAAGTGGTCTATAAAATTAGTGACCAGAAAAGTATACTATCCCATTTTCCTAGGAAGATTAGAAAAGTACATGGAAACTCTGAATCATATAGAACAGATGTGAGGTCAGTATTGATAGCCTGTGCTTTTAAAATGAAACCTTGGGTGGTTTCCAGGACAACCTGAAGGTTGAACAAATTAATCTATTTCTAAACAGCTGCAGTATTTCTGTCCATGGACTTTGGTGCGTCCTCTCATGATGTTTACATAAAAGGTAAGTTTTTGCTATAAATTCAGAGGATAGAGAGTGACCTTTCTACTCAATCCTTCAAAAATATCCAGAAACAATATTTGAGAGAGATTTTTAATAAGTTATATTAGCAAAAATTGTATAATTGTTCAAAGGGCTTCCAGTATCTCTGCTCTTAGCCACATAACTTACTATAATGTTAGATTTATAATAGGTTTATAATAATGATAATAATAATAATAATAGATATAATCACATAGTTTATTCATAGATTCATAGATTATAGAGTCGGAAGGGACCCAATGGATCATTGTGTCCAACCTCCTACCGCTGGCAGGAAAGAGGACTGAGGTCAGACAACTCCAGCCAGGTGATTGTCAAGCCTCCTCTTGAAGACCTCCAAGTTAGGTGACAGCACCACCTCTCTTGGAAGCACATGCCAGACTCTGACCACCCTTATTGTAAAAAATGTCTTCCTAATGTCTAACCTAAATCTACTTTCCACTAGTTTGCACCCATTATTCCTAGTTACTCCCTGGGGCACTTTGGTAAACAGCACATCCCCAATTCCCTGCTGTCCTCCCCTGATAAATTTATAGGCGGCCACAAGGTCACCCCTCAGGCATCTTTTGTATAGGCTGAAGAGATCCAGATCTCTCAACCTCTCCTCGTAGGGTCTTTCATGGAGACCACTAATCATGCGGGTGGCCCTCCGCTGAACCCTTTCCAGATCCTCCGTGTCCCTCTTGAAGTGCGGTGCCCAAAACTGGATACAGTACTCCAACTGCGGCCTGACTTGTGCTGCATAGAGGGGAAGCATCACCTCCCTCGATCTGTTGGTCATGCATCTGCTAATACATGACAAGGTGCGATTGGCTTTGTTGATGGCCTCGTTGCACTGCTGGTTCATGTTCATCTTGGAGTCAGCTATGACTCCAAGATCTCTCTCAGCGTCTAAGCTGCTGAGGAGGACATCCCCCAATCTGTAGGTGTGCTAGGGATTCCTCCTTTCTAGGTGGAGTACCTTACATTTGTCTTTGTTGAATTGCATCCTATTACGTTCCGCCCATTGATCCAACCTGTCCAGGTCGGCCTGTAACTGCTCCCATAATTTGGTATCATCTGTGAACTTGGAGAGGGTACTCAACACACCTTCATCCAAATCACTGATGAAGATATTAAATAATACCAGCCCAAGGACCAAACCCTGTGGGACCCCACTGCCCACCTCCTTCCAGGTTGAAAATGACCCATCAACCACCACTCTCTGGGTGGGCCCGATGCTACTCTGTGCCTTCTTTTTGCTCGCTGTGTATCTGTAGAAGGACTTTTTATTGTCCTTGATTGTTAGAGCCAGCCTAAGCTCCAGTCCTGCCTTGGCCTGTCTAACTGACTCCCTGCAATGGTGCACCAGGGTGGTATATGCTTCCTTTCTGTTGATTCCCTCATTCCATTTCTAGCATTTGGTGGCAAAGAGAATTCAGTTTCCGTATGTAACAAATAATGTGCAAATAATGTGTGTTCCTTGGTGGCTGCCCCCTGCTTCCACTACTTATATATCTCTTTCTTTGCCCCCAGCCTTTCCTGAAGCTCCCTGTTCAGCCAAGGGGGCTTTTTTATTCCCTTGACTGAACATAGTAGTTGTCTGATTGTTGGGATTTAATGGGATTCCTGTATCTTTCTCCCAATATTTTTCTTAAGGACTGCACTATACTAGTGTATTGGAATTGCTGTATTACACAATCTTACTTGTTTCCTTTACCTGACATCAGTGGGCTAGTGTGTCTGCTCCTATTTAAGGCAGACTTTGTCCCCTTAGGAATCCCGTAGCCAGTCCAAACAAAAGTCCATAATATCAACCATAATTCTTAATCCAAACAAACAAATAAGCAGAGCAAAGCAAATGATCAGCCCTTTTCTAGGTGGCAGGAAAGGGCCCTTTTATCTCCGACCTTTCCTAGAAGTAAGCTCCTAGTGTTGGAATATGTTTCCTGGCTACATACTGCTCCTTCCCCAGCTCAGCCCTCTTGCTCTCTCCACATCTGGGCTTTTAACTGCCAGCTAATCACCTACAGCTGGGCTCATACCCCAGGGCTGATTGCCCCACTTAAATGGCCAGACCACCATTTGCTACACCTGACATGTACATGTAAAATATATTCTCAGTAGTGTTAGATATAAAGAAAATCTGATAAATACTTTATGAAGTAAAAATTCATCTGTAAGATCTGTAACCAATATTTTTTACATCTGAGTACAAACTACTGCAAAGATACTTTAATTAGTATATCCTGTTCATCTCTCTACATAGGCACTGGGTCAGAATTACCAAAGGAACCAAGTATAATTAAAAGCTATGACTTCCCTTTATTAACAAAAACAAAAACCTTATTTTGCCTTCTTTGAAATCAATGGTAAAACTTCCCTTGAAAAAAAGAAAGAAGCCTCTAATGAGCAAAGAAATTGAATAATAATCAGAAGAACATTTGAAAATGGATGGATGCCCAGAACCCATCAAGTCAAAATGCAGCTTTACAATAAAGTTCCTGTCACGTTGGTCGTTCCTCTAAAAACATTTTTCTCCCTCACACAAGTTGGATGAGCATTATGTCAATCTATGATATCCATAGTGGCTTTGACTTGTAGAGCATGAGACTGGTCACCTGGCCTGGCTGACAGATTATGCATGTTTCAGCTGGAAAGCTTATAGATATTG